TATTAGGAAGTATGCCTGCCACTAACAGCTCTCCTTCTTCAAATCTAGTCCAGGGATCCTTCCTCAAACCTCTAGAGCCTCTACTCTTTCTTGTGATCCTTCCTCACCAGACTTGGAGTCTTCCACTGCACCTCTTCCATCTCAGCCTGTTCACCCAACACTCCCAGAAGGGCCCGCTAGGACACCCACCAAAGCCAGAAAAGAGGCTACTCCCCCTTAGGGAATTAACTAAACAAAGAGACGGACCATTTGGTTCACATTCTTTTTCTCAATGTCAAGAACTTAGCTTTTTCAAGACTAAACAGTTACAGTTGATGTTATGCATTGCAGGGACAGCGAAGGAGGAAAACCTCTACACATAAAAAAAAAGGGGAATTAATTTAGCAAATGGTAACTGCTAACAGGTGCATCCCTTCCATTCCCCAGAACTATGGGCTCCTGAGGTCAGTGCCCTGCAGACAACAAATGAGAAGGGAGTTGCCAACCCAAACGGAGATTCATTAAGCCCTTTATTGGATGGTGGGTGGACCGAAATTCCAAAATTTTATTTTATTTTGATTTATTTTATTTTTTCTCCTCCTTTTTTTTTTGAGATGGAAGTCTCACCTTCTGTCGCCCCAGGGCTGGGGAGGGCAGGTGCCGGAATCTCAGCTCACTGCAAGCTCCGCCTTCCTGGTTTAGCCCATTCTCTGCCTTGCCTTCCCAAGTTAGGCTGGGACTACCGGTGCCCACTGCGCGCCGGTTAATATTTTTGTTTTTTAAGTAAGAGACCAGGTTTCCACGGGTTTAGCAGGGGGATGGTTTCCGATCGTCGACGGTTGATCCGCCGTCTCGGCCTCCAAAGGTGGCTGGGATTACAGCGCGTCATCCCAACACCGGCAAAATTTTTTAATTACCTTTAAAGTCTCAACGGCAATTCAATCAAAAGGGTTACACCTAGGAAAGGGCACTCTTACGTTTTGGTCACATTTGAGCCTTAAAGGAATGCTAAGCTACTACTGAAAGGGCAGGAGAACAGAGCGGAGACCAGTTTCTATCGACAACCAGAGGAAAATAAGGCTGGCTTCCATTTAACTGATGCCTGTACAGCAGGAGAGGAGGTACCCAGGCAAGACTGGCAGTTACCCACTTTTCCTAAAGTTTCTATCTGGTACCCAAAGATTTTAGACTTACTAGTCTTTATTAGGATTATTTCCATGGTGATTTGGACGTTGAAACATACTCCACCAAAACACCTAAAAGGGCACAAGTTGCTTTGAAAGAAAATCTTTCCCCATTTTGGGTTACCTAAGGGTCACTCCAAAGGGGGCAACATGGGCTTCTCCTTTTTGTGGGCAAACATAACCCGGCAGCCCCACTACCACTCTAAGGAGTAAAGTGTATCTTTACAATGCGTCCTTGGAGACCTCGTCCTCAAGAGAGCCAGGAAAAGCTAACATAAAGACGGACCTCTGGTGAAAGCCTCTGGGCAAGGATCCCTCTGAAGTTTCTTATTAAAGGGATTGCCTCTAGCGTTCCTCCAAGTAAGAGCGGCTCCCAAGACCAATCTCCAACCCAGCCCCTTTGAAATATAATATGGTCCTTTTGAGTCTTCACAGAGATGCCTTGTAAAGGCATTAGGAAAATAGACCAGTGGAGATCCTGCCTCTGAGGCAGCTCAAATTCTTCTGGGGACTCATTTTATTAGTCAGTCTGCTCCAGATATTAAGAGAAAGTTACAAAAACTGGCTGTAAGTCCCCAGGCACCAATGAAAGAGCTACTTAATGTAGGCTTCGAGGTCTTCTATAACGAGACAGAGTAGAAGAGGCTAAAAAGTGAAAGAGGGAAGAGGCAAGAGACATACGCCAGGCCTCTGATTATTGGCCCTCGCTATCAGAGAGAACAAGCCACCGTGTCCAGACCAAGCCCCAATCTGGGGACACCTGCTACACTTAAAACCAGGACACTGGCCCCAAAACTGCCAGGCCATGGAGCAAAATGCCCAAAAGTCCACTCCGCCTAGACCATATCCACAGTGCAGAGATGCCAGTCACCAGAAGTGGGACCGTCCCCAACTCCAGAGGGAGAGAGGAGCCTCCAGTTCCCTGATGGCCCTGACTAAAGACCGAGAAGCCCCAAGGCTAACACCGGCTGTCATTCAGTCCCCGTTACCACAGAGGAACCCAGTGACCCTGGATGTGGCAGGTGTAGCTAATTTTCTATTACATACAGGGACCAGCCTGTCAGTCCTTACCTTTTGCCCTTGACCCTAGTAGGCCAAACACTGCACTGCCACAGGAATTGATGAAAAACCTGGACCAGATACTTCTCCCAACCTTTTTTTTTTTTTTGGAGTCTTGCTCTGTCTTTTGTAGAGACGGGGTTTCACCAGGTTGCCCAGGCTGGTCTCAAACTCTTGGACTCAAGGGATCTGCCTTTCTTAGCCTCTGAAAGTGCTGGGATTACAGGTGTGAGTCCCTATGCCCAGCCTAGAGGACAGTTTCCTTTTTTTTTTTGAGATGGAGTCTCGTTCTGTCACCCAGGCTGGAGTGCAGTGGCACGATCTCTGCTCATCTGCTCACTGCAAACTCCACCTCCTGGGTTCATGCCATTCTCCTGCCTCAGCCTCCTGAGTAGCTGGGACTACAGGTGCCTGCCACCACACCTGGCTAATTTTTTGTATTTTTAGTAGAGACAGGGTTTCATCATGTTGGCCAGGATGGTCTCGATCTCCTGACCTTGTGATCCTCCTGCCTTGGCCTCCTAAAGTGCTTGGATTACAGGTGTGAGCCACCGCGCCCAGCCACCCAATCTTTAATTTGCAGACTCGAGGACTTGAATGCCTAACTCCCTTGTTGGGGAAAGCTTCCTACCCTCGTCGGGGGCTTCCTTAAAACCAATGAAACCAACTGAATCCCTTCTCATAGGAGCACTCTCAGTAGCCCAGCTGACTAGCATAACACACCACAGTCCAGAGAATCCAGGACATTGCCAGCTGGGTGCATCTCTCTAGGATAAAAATTGTTTCCCTTACGTTTCCACAAGACTCTTCATCAACAACTAAAGATCAAAAATCCTTTTTTAAGTCTATAGAAGACCTAACATTCATTTTCAAGAAAAGACACCAACACCCCAAATAAAGAGATTAAGATTACTTTAACGTAAGATAGTCCCATCTCAGGTCTCCTATTTGTAGGAGCTCTTTTTGTTCTTCTGCTTGCTGAATAATGATGTGATGCTTCATTCGGCTACCTTTCATGGGACCTAAAATAGCCATCTTATTACTACTGACCTTTGGTCCTTGCTTTTTAAGCTCCATGTAAAGTCTGTGTCTTCTAGGTTACAATTCCACGTCAGAGTGATAGTTATGCAAGGATTTCAGCTTATCCCAGAGAAGGATATGACCCCTATCACTTTAAATCAAGCAGGAAGAGACTTTTGCGGGCCCTGGTCCTGTCTCAGCATGAAGCAGCTCCAGAAAAAATGACCCAGCCCTCCACAATTCTTAAGAACATGGACCCAAAGTCTCCGAGGGGGAAAATGAGGTCGGTTAGATAGGGTGGTCACAGCCTCCTTTAAAGGGGAATGAACTTGCCAGATTGATGGAGAGAACAAACCGCCCACTGGTGCGTGAACTACATCCGGCTCCTGGTCAGAACATCCTGCAGCAAAGAGGATGAACAGTAGAAGGGAAAATCCCCAAATTCACACAAGTACAGAAACCCATGATTAGAGTGTCCTTGGAATGACCTATGCTCATTTTAATGCGAAAAAACACACCCCTGGGTTAAGAATTAAAATGCTAATGAGACATGTGACTTGGTGTACTAGCATGCACACGCACATCCGGGAGATCCCGCAACATGCTTAACAGTAACGTCCATTCCCACTCCTTTAAGAATAATTGTGTAAATCTCCCATCAAGGGAAGCTCCTCAATGCCAGACAGAGCTATCTCAACGTACGTGTTTGTGTGTGTGTGTGTGTGTTAGACATGGGGGTTTGCTCTTTGGCTAGGCTGGAACGCAGTGACACGAGCTAGGCTCACCGCAACCTCCGCCTACACCTCCCAGGCTCAAGTAATGCTCTCACCTCAGCCTCCCAAGTAGTTGGGGCTGCAGGTAAACACCACCACGCCCGGCTTTTTTTTTTTTTTTTGAGACCGAGTCTTGCTCTGTCGCTGAGGCTGGAGTGCAGTGGTGCGATCTCGGCTCATTGCAACCTCCACCTCCCTGGTTCAAGCAATTCCCCTGCCTCAGCCTCTGGAGCAGCTGGGATTACAGGCGCACGCCAACCACCACACCCGGCTCATTTTTTTGTAATTTTAGTAGAGACGGGGCTTCACAACGTTGGCCAGACTGGTCTGGAACTCCTGACCTCAAGCAATCCACCCTCCTCGGCCTCCGAAAGTGCTGGGATTACCGGCGTGAGCCACCGCGCCCAGCCCATGCCAGGCTAATTTTTGTATTTTTGTATTTTTGGTAGAGACGGGGTCTCGCCATGTCGCCCGGGCAGGTCTCTCACTCCTGGACTCAAGCAATGGTCCTCTCTCAGCCTCCCAAAGTGCTGGATTACAGGCATGAGGCACCGTGCTGCGCCACTCTCACCATCTTAGCAAATGCAAGCCACGAGCGTGCGTGTCCCCGGCCTGCCTGGGGGCAGGAGCTTCCGCCAGCCAGCTCCGCGCACGTGGATGCGCACGTGGAGAGCGGGCAGGAAGAGGGTGCCACGTGAGGGCTAACAGGAAGAGGGTGCGCACGTGGCCGCCGACCTCGGCGGCGGCCGTGCGCGGGCCCCTTGGGTTGGAGCCGGAACTCAATCCCCAGGACCGGATCTTTAGCAACGTCGGCAGCCCTGGAGTTACGGACGCAGCCCTTGGGGTCCTCCCACCGCGCCGCCTGGGGGAGCCTGCCCCTGCTTTCTTTCCCGGCTAGCCGACCCCGTCCTCCCAGGCCGTGCGAATTCCCGCCACCCTCCCTCGCCCCCGGCCCCGGAGCCCTGCCCTTCCCGCCCTCCGTGGCCAAGGCTGCCAGGTGCGGGCCTCGCTCCACAACTCAGGAGGCAGGATCGGCGGCTTCATTTTACAGGTGAGGAAACTGAGGCCGAGGAACCGCAGGGGCCCGTGGTGGGCGCTCAGAGAGCCCTCGACTTCTCTGGGACTCCCGGCTGGTCCAGGCCCTGCGGGTCGGTCCCACCGCGTCCAACGGGCTGCTCTGTCGCTTTTCAGGTTCCTGCGACCCCGCGTGGCTCGGGTTCCACGTGAGCCGGGCCCTGCTCTCCACGGGCCGGCCTTGGTGGGGTGGAACTTTCCTTCCGTTGATTTGAGAACTGGTGTATGCTTTGGTTGATGTGGTATGTTTTGTTTTGATTTTTAATGTTCCCCAGAGTGCAAAGGGCAGCTGGTGTTTTCTTTCCAGAAAGGCTTTCTGTTCCCGGCCCCTGCCCAGTTTGATGGATGTGGAGTTTATGACGCTGGAGACCGTTTTACTTTTTTTTTTGTGGGTAGAACTCATCTCCTTTCATCTTTCGAATTGTGCGCTCAGTCCTTGCTGACCGGAGCCGCTGCCCTCGCCAGCATTCCCAGGCTATTAAATATTTGTTTAAAAGGATGGATTTAAAACTTGATGTTAGGGAATAAGGCATCTTGAAAAAGCAGTATTCGCAAAAACAGCACCGTTGTAATAGTCTGAATTCATTTTGGCTCTTTTGACATCAGAGCCCAAAGCACGTGGGATTCCGTAACTATTTGGCCTCATGGCTACACTTTAAAACAAATTGTTTTATTTTTCTTTTAGTCAGGAAAGTAAAAGAGCAAAAAAAAAAAAAAAAAATGTTGAAATCTCACTGCGAAACCGCCAGGGAGGATGAGGGAGGCCGGGAGGCGGCTGAACGCTAAAGGCTGGGGCTGCGGTTTGCAGGACTTGGGGAGACAGGAGCCCAGGCGGAGGGGTGTGCTGGACAGAGGGGTCGCCATCTGTGGGCTGCGATGTAGAGTGAACATGGCCAAGGCAAGGAGTTGAGCAACAAGATATATTTAAGTCCTGAACCTGGAAAGAATGTGAGATGGAGGAGGAACAGGTCCTGGCTGGCGGGTACTGGGCCCCAGGAGGGAAAGAGAGAACAAAGTAAAGTTCAGATGCTAACGCTATCTCCTGTTTGACTGGGGAGCCTTCACATCCCCTCCCACGCTGTCAGGACACGTCCTGTAGGCACTGGAGCAGGTCACACCAACCAGAATGATCGGTTTCCATCCATTCCGGGATGCATTTTTGTTCGCATTTTAACAGCTCTGAAGTTGGGCTGGGTCCCACAGTTTGTGTCTTTTTTTGTGTCATGGTTCATCACTTGGCAACTTTTTGTCAGTCTTAGTGGCACAGAAAGTCACAGTGCCTTAAACCTAGCAGCATCTTAGCTGCGATGAAGGAGTCAGCCATGGCCTGAGTCCAGTAACTGCAGGCAGGACCCAGAGTTGGAGACGCCTCAGCCTGCATCCTTGTGTTGTTGAGGTCTTGGTCTTTGAAAGTGCTTGTTTCAAGGCATGTGAGGGAGGGAGGGGATTGGCAAAAGCCTGAAACAACAGAGACACAAATGAAAACCGTGTTACTTTGTGGTTGGGAAAGAGAAGACACAGCTGGCCGCTGCTTCTCCCTTCCAGGTGAAATTGGAATGCTGTATAACCACTGGTAGAAAGCACCTTTGAGTGAAAGGCGTTTTGCAGCAGCTAGAATCAGCTGCCCACTGAGCAGGCAGCCCTGGCCCAAGAGCCTGATGGGCAGCCAGCCAGTCTGAATACGCTGATTGGGCCAGTGAGCCCCAGGCTTTATCATCCCCTGGAGTGTTAGTGAGCCCTGGGTCTATCCCATGACAGAAACGTCCTGCTGCCAGTAAGCTCCTCTGGGGCAGAGACCGCATCTTCCTCATCCTTGAGGTCCCAGTGCTCAGCATACTGCCTGACACATAGGAGATGCAGGGGGTTTGTTGAGCGGGAACTGTATTGAACAGGTGGGGCAAATTGTCTTCCTGGTGGCGGAGTGAAAGTTTTCATGTACCACTTTGGCCGGGCGCGGTGGCTCACACCTGTAATCCCAGCACTTTGAGAGGCCGAAGCGGGTGGATCATGAGGTCAGGAGATGAAGATCAGCCTGGCCAACATGGTGAAACCCCATCGCTACTAAAAATACAAAAAATTAGCTGGGCGCGGTGGGACGTGCCTGTAATCTGAGCTTCTCAGGAGGCTTAGGCAGGAGAATCACTTGAACCCGGGAGGCAGAGGTTGCAGTGAACCAAGATCGTGCCTTTGCACTCTAGCCTGGACAATAAGTGAAACTGTCTTGGGAAAAAAAAAGAATATTCATAGCAGATTTATTCATAATACCTTGAAATGAAGTAACCCAAATGCTCATCAACAGCAGAATGGATAAATAAGTAGTAGTTACTCATATGATGAAATGTTATATAGTAATAAAAATTACTGAACTGCTACATAAACTACTATTACAGGCATATGGCATGCAATAACGTACATGTAGCAGTAGTTCATGTAGCATGTTGCATGCTACATGTGGATGAATTTCACAGGCATAATGTTGAACAAAATATATGCAAAAGTGTACAAAATTTATGATTTAGCTGGGCGCAATGGCTCACACCTGTAATGCCAGTACTTTGTTAGGCCAAGGCAAGCGGATCACCTGAGCCCAGGAGTTTGAGACCAGCGTGGGCAACACAATGAAACTGTTTCTACAGAAAAATATAAAAATTAGCTGAGCATGGTGGCACATACCTGTAGTCCTAGTTACTCAGGAGGCTGAAGCAGGAGGATTTTTTGACCCCAGGAGGTTGAGGCTGCAGCGAGCTGTGATCACGCCACCCAAGTCTGGGCAACAGAGCGAGACTATGTCTCAAAAAAATGTATATATGATTTTACGTATGTGAAGTTCAAGAGCAGGCAAAATAATTGATGGTGATAGAGGCAGAGTAGTGTTACATTTAGGGTTATTGACTGGAGGAGGTACTTCCAGAATGTAAGAAATAAGCAATATCTTGATCTGGGTCATGGTTACCATATGTACGTATATGCATATATATACACACAGACACACATTTATACTAAATGTACATATATGTACATAAAAATCAATCACACTGAACACTTAAGATTTGTGCATTTAGAGCCAGGCATGGTGGCTCATGGAATCCCAGCACTTTGGGAGGCTGGGGCAGGAGGATTGTTTGAGCCCAGGAGTTCAAGACCAACCTGGGCAAGGTAGCAAGAACCCTGTCTCCACAAAAATATTAGCCAGGCATGGTGGTGTGTGCCTGTAGTCCTGGCTGCTCAGGAGGCTGAGGCAGGAGGATTGCTTCAGCTCATGAGTTGAAGGTAGCAGGGAGCTATGGCGATAATAGTATACTCCAGTCTATGTGGCAGAGAGAGACTGTATCTCTAAAATAAAATAAATTAGATTGGGTACAGTGGCTCACGCCTGTAATCCCAGCACTTTGGGAAGCCAAGGCAGGAGGATTGCTTAAGCCTGGGAGTTCAGGACCGTCCTGGGCAACATAGCAAGAACTCTTTGTCTCTACCAAAAAAAAAAGTAAAATTAGCTGGGCGTGGTGGTGTAAACCTGTAGTCCTAGCTACTCAGGAGGCTGAGGCAGGAGGATTGCTTGGGCCCAGGAGTTCAAGGTTGCAAAGAGCTGTGATCACGAAACTACACTTCAGTCTACGTGACAGAGACAGACTCTGTCTCTAAAATAAATAAATAAATAAATTAGGCCAGGTGCAGTGGCTCATGCCTGTAATCCCAGCACTTTGGGAGGCTGAGGCGGGTGGATTGCTTGAGTTCGGGAGTTGGAGACCAGCCTGGGTGATATGGTGGAACCCCATCTCTACAAAAAATACAACTGGGCATGGTGGTGCACACCTGTTGTCCCAGCTACTTGGGAGGCTGGGGTGGGAGGATGACTTGAGGCTGGGAGGCAGAAGTTGCAGAGCCAAGATTGCACCACTATACTCCAGCTTGGGTAACACAGCCAGACCCTGTCTCTAAAATAAAATAATAATTGAATTTATATATATCCTTAAAATCATATATTATATGAAGATATATATGTACTAGTAAGTTATACATCAGTAAAAAGTGAAGAATGTATCTTGTGTGGGTTATAGATCCAAATGTGAAAAATAAATAAAAATAATTAAAAATCTCAAAGCGCATGAAAATAAAGTACAAAGATGAAAAAAAAATTTTTTTTTCTCTTTGTGAGCCAACGCGCCCCAGCTAGCATAGCCGATTTCCCAGCGGCGCCCGCTGCTCCACTGCAGCCTTGTGACCCTTGCCTGGACTCAGGGTGATCCTCGCCACTCAGCCTCCCAAGTAGCTGGATATGCAGGTGCGCCACACCATGTTCCGCCCAGCTAATTGTTTTTTTTTTTTTTTGTTGGTCTTTTGGAGACCGAGTCTGTCTGTCACCCGAGGGCTGGAGTGCGGTGGTGCAGTCCGTCGCTCACTGCAAGCTCCGCTTCCTGGGTTCACCGCCATTCTCCTGCCTCAGCCTTTCCTGAGTATGCTGGGACTACAAGGCGCCTCGCGCACCATGCCCTGCTAATATTTTGATGTAGGTTTTTAGTAGAGACGGGGTTCTCTACCATGTGTGTCAGCCGAGTTGGTCTCATGTCTCCTGACGCTCGTGATGCCGCCTGCCGTCGGCCTCCCCGAAGTGCCTGGATTTACTGTGTCAGATAGAGCCACCACGCAGCGTAATTTTTTGTATTTTTTTATAGAGATGCGGTTTCACTGTGTTAGCCAGGACTAAAGGTCTTCGATCTCCTGACTTGGACTCTGCCTGTCATCGGCCTCCCAAAGTGCTGGGGATTACAGGCGTGGCCACTGAGGCCCGGCCCCATGGCCCAGCTAATTTTTGTTACAATTTTTGTAGAGACGGGGTTTCACCCATGTTGGCCCAGGCTGGTCTCAAACTCTTGGACTCAAGGTATCTGCCTTCTCAGCCTCCGAAAGTGGCCTGGGATTACAGCGTGAGCCACTGAGCCCCGGGCCCATGCCCAGCTAATTTTGTAATTTTGTAGA